TTGTTTGAAACTCATAGATACAGGGAACAAATAGATGCTTGCCAGAGAAGAAGAGGGTGGGGAGTGGGTGAAAAGGGTGAAGGGAATAAGAGGTACAAACTTCCAGTTATAAAATAAATAATTTTGTACGGGGATGCAATGTACAGCACAGGAAATAGAGCCAATAACATCGTAACTTTGTTTGGGGACACACAGTTACTAGACTTACTATGGTGATCACATCATAAGGTATATAAATGTCAAATCTCTATGTTGTGCATCTCAAACTAGTATAATATTGTATGCCAACTATAATGAACTATAATGATGCTTCTAAATGAAGGATTCAGAAAGATGGCAAGCAATGCGTGACTCTTAAAGGGGCTTTATTGGTGTGAGAAGGGAAAGGATAACTTTATTATCCTCTGTCTGTCCATAATGAAATAATTCATGGGACCCAACGGGACAAGCATTGACGATACAGTGTGGCAAACACGCAGTCTGCTGGCCGTTCCCTTCCAGCTGCTGCTAGTAAAATGCCACATAAAAATCATAAGCTCTTATCGGTATTTGTCATAAAAACGAGTAATAGGAACCCAGAAGTAACAGTCCTGGCGAGAGGCAAATACAAGTTTCCCTGGTGCCGTTGGGAGATCTGTGGGAAGGGAAGCGGGTGAACCCTCTTGGGACAACTGAGCACCACAAAGGGTCATTTCCCTCCCTAAAGCCCTTGTCCCCCACACCAACCGCTGGCCAGCAGCCCAGACCGAGCCTCCAGGGGAGGAAAGCGCTCATTACAGCAATAGACAGCTTCGCCTTCCGACTGGAATTTAAACCGCCCAAAGAGCTACATCCCGATGACAACTCACTTATGCCACAGACAATAAAATTAATATGCTGGGTGGGGAGGGGGCACATGACAGGATCTACAGGCTCATAGTTGGGGTTTTCCTCCCTCACCCTCCCCAATTCCTTTTCACTTTGCCTATGTCTACGTAACGTAAAGAGACTGCAATGAACACGGGAAATGGAATTATCTGATGTAGAAGAAGGGTGCACTCATGCTGCGTCAAACTAACATGCATTCTGGGAAAGAAATGGCGTCACAGTTCAGCTTGGGAAGGTCTCTCTAAAGGAGACAAAATCACAGCAAGAAATTGTTGACGTCTGTCTCAGTCTAGATAAATAACATACATTATGAGAACTGAATCTGCAACCCAAGCAGATGATTACTCATATTTCAAAAGGGCTTTCCATTTGAGTTTCTTTCACTGGGCAACTCCCCTGTTTTGTTCACACATGGTTTTCAAAGTCACTTCAACTCTTCAGAAGCACATGGCCTGCATAAAGCAAAGACTGCTTGCATTTTTATTTATGGTGTTCCCAAAGCCTTTTAAAATCTACCCTATAAATCTTCACTGCTATCTTTATATGGGGCAGAAAAATAAAGAAACAAATTTAAAAATCCTTCCATCATCCCGTCAGTGTGGCTCAGCGGTTGAGCATTTATATACCTTATGATGTGATCACCATAAGAGGCCACGGTTCAATTCCCGGTCAGGGCACATTCCAAGTTGCAGGCTCAATTCCCAGTGGCAGAAGGCAGCTGATCAATGATTCTCTCTCATCATTGATCTTTCTATCACTCTCTCCCACTTCCTTCCTCTCTGAAATCAATAAGAAATACATTTAAAGATAACATCCTTCTATCAACATTTTAACCATTCAGTAGCAAATTCTTCCCAGTAAGATGTTTATGTGCACTGGGCTCCCGGCCCCTGAAACACAATAACCTCGGCATTGTTTTCCAAGGCAGAGATTTCTAAAACAAAGGCAGGGTGCAGAAGTACGAAGCCGATTCATAAGGTATGATTCAAACACAAGCACAGCTCCAAGATGCGTGTGGTGTGACATCTCTGTGCTTGAAACCTGGGCCACCTGCACAGTGGAACCCAGAACCTTTTCCTGTGTGCACATTCCAGGTGGGATGCTCTAAGCACTGGCTAGTTTCCTAGAGTAAGAGTTGGCAAGAGTCAGGAACGGAGCGGGACAAAGACAGGGGTTATAAAATGGCCCTCGCCAAAAAAGCCTAGTGTTGCAGGGCAATAGAGAGGACCAGTGATAATTCCCTCCCATTTGACAGAAAAAATAGATGAGACATCATGGTCACTGAGCACTTACAGTAGGCAAAGCTGCTCTATGCATTTTCATCTGCATTAACCTACACAATCTGTCTCTGATGCCTTTACACTCTTAAAAATAGACAGCTCCCAAATTGTTGTGGTTTTTATTTGTTTTGTTGTGTTGTTTTATTTTATTAATCCTCACCCGGGGATATTTTTCCATTGATTTTTAGGGAAAGTGGAGGAGAGAGGCAAAGACAGAGAGGAACATCAATGTGAGAGAAACACATCAACTGGTTGCCTCCAAGGCCTGGGCTGGGGAGGAGCCTATAACCAATGTGCCCTTGACTGGAATCAAACCCGGGACCTTTTGGTCCACAGGCCAAGACTCTATCCCCTGAGCCAAACCAGCTAGGGCCCAAATTGTTGTTTATGTAGGTTGTAGCCATATGTTCTACATTGAAATGAAGAAAAAGTTTAGAAATTCACTGATTCATTTATAAAAATATATTTTTAATGATTTCAGAGAGGAAAGGAGAGGAAGGGATAGAAACATCAAAGATAAGAGAGAATCATTGATCAATTGCCTCCTGCACAATTGTGAATCAAGCCTGCAATTCCGGCATATGCCTTGACCAGGAATCAAACTGTGACCTCCTGATTCATAGGTCAATACTCAACCACTAAGCCACCGCAGCCCAACCAGGCTCATTTTTAAAAAATAATAAAGCTATTAAACACTAACAGAGATAACTTTTTTTATGAAGAATAACAATATTTTCCAAAGCAAAAAAGAGAAGGGTGGCACTGGTACATTTTGGCAAGTCTCCATAATTTCTGGCTCAATAGAAGGCAGTTGGAATCTCCTGCTTCTGCATTCAATTGTTGCACTACCCCAGGTCATACTGTTATACTTGCCTCAATAGAATTTCATGTGCAGTCACATGGGAATGAACATGGACATGGCAGATAGTGTCATATGTTATCATGAAAATAGTTTGGCCTCTGAAAAGTCTTCGGGTCTCCTAAGGACCCCTGCCTTACAAATTTAGAACAAATATCATTTCCATGAGCAAACTAGCATCGAGAGGTCAAGAGCTTATCCAAGGACGCATTGCTAGAACAGGTAAAAGGCAAAGAGCATACCAATTACTCTCATCTGGTTGTTGCAAGGATCGAGATCATACATGCAAGGGTTGTGCATGCCACTTGGCCCATCACAAGTGCCCAAGACATTTATATTTCCTGCTGGGCAATATCTAGTGGGAAACCAGGGAAACTCTGCATATGTCTGATCAACTGACCACAATTTTCACCAGCAAGAGAATTAAATCTCCACAGCAGGTGCTAGAGTATGGACGCTGCCGCAGTCCCTGGCTGGAAGCTGTCTTGAGCTACTAAGGAACTCTACGGCCTCCTTCCACCTCCAGCAGGCGAATGACGCTGGCGGGCTGCACTGCTCACGGTCACCTTGTTCCTTGGGAAACCTGAGCAAGCCCAGAGAGCTGCTCCATTATTTACAGCCTCCTTTTTGCATCACACTGTATTTACCAGGAACCTCAGCAAACGAGCAGCGGTGCCTCTGCATGCCTCTAGTCTGTGCAGCCAAAGCCCCCCTAGGAACTGGCCCCTGGGTCTTCCTGTCCAGGAGCTCTGCTCTCCTTGTCCATCAGCTGTCTGAACCCACATGTCCTCCTGACCTGCCTGAAGTGGGCCACCTGAGCAGAGAGCACCAGGGGCTGGCAGGTCACTCTTCCCGGGGTTTGGGAGTGAGGTCACCGGATGAAGTGGGTCTGGTGCAGCTCAGGCCACTGCATTCTCAAAATGCTACGTGGACAGAAGGCAAGAGCAAGAGGTGCCTGAAGCTGTCACTTCCACGCAAGTGCATGCACGGACCTGTGCCCTGCAGCACTGCAACTGGTCTTCCTGTTTTCACGGCGATACTCCTACACACACACACACACACACACACACACACACACACACACACACCTCTAACCACCAGTCACCAAAAACTGATGGACAAAAACAAATCCAGAGACAGAGACGCATTGATCAGACCGTCAAACCTCCTCAGAGGGAAAGTAGGGGAGGGTGGGGGTAGCGGGGAGATCAACCAAAGGACTTGTATGCATGCATACAAGCCTAACCAATGGACACAGACACCAGGGGGGTGAGGGCATAAGTGGAGTTGGGGGGTGGGAGTAGGGGCAAAAGGGGAGATAAGGACACATATGTAATACCTTAATCAATCAATAAAACAAATATATAGAAGAGATAAGGTCAGTCTTCCTGCTAATATGCTTCCAAGGATTCCCCACTCAGATGGCATAAAAACCGAAGTCCTTAACTTGGAGTTATAACGCCCGGCCTCTCTGTCTGGCCTTTCCTCTGCCTGCTCCCACCACCGCAGGCTCCTCGGGACCTCAGAGGTCACCGCCTCCTCCCAGAGGCCTCCCCGCACGCCCGCCCACTCTGCAGTCCTGCCGCTGCACCCCTCCGGGGTCTCCCTGGGCTTGAGAAGACGGAGCGCTCACTCTCTGCATGTTACCCATGTATTACAAGTCCCCCTCCGGCCACACCTCCCTCCCTCTTAGAACCTGAGCCCAGAGAGCTAGGTCTCCACCGATCCTCCGCGATCTCCCCCGCGCCTGGCACCGCGCCTGGCACAGCCTAGGTGCTCAGCAAACGCTGGCTGAATGAATGAAGCGGCGGCGCCAGGTGGCCGCGGGAGTCCCGGGCTGGTGTCCCCGGTGCCCCGGCGGCGACACCCGCGGGCCGGGGGACTCCGGCAGGACCCGGCGGGGCAGCCTGCCTCACGGACAGGCTCCGCAGGTGCCTCCCGAGAGCCAGAGCGCTCCGCCCCGGGCCAGCGCCGCCCCGATCTCGGGCACTCACCATGGTGCCCCGGCCGCCTCCGCCCCAGCCTGCCGAGCGCCGAGCGGCGAGAGCCAAGTGCAGGAGCCCGCGCGGCTGACAGGTGAGGCATCTATCTGCCTCAGACCATGGCTGCTTCCCACAATGCCCTCGAACTGAAAGTTTGCAGACTCCTCCTCCCCGCCGGCTCCCCCAGTGACCCCTCCTTCCCTCCTCTTCCTCCTCCCCCGCCTTCGCCCCGCCCAGCGCCGCGCTGGCGGCCTCAGGTGACAAGTCACCTGCGCGCCTCAGATGCAGCCGGGCAGAAAAAAAAGAGTTAGCTGTCCTTTTCAGTAGACCCCAAACGAGGCCTCTGTGGCTGAAGTTAAGAGAGAGAGAGGAGGTTCGAGAGGTGAGCAGGAGCTGTGGGAAGCAGCCAATGGGCCTTTCCTACATTAGGGCATCATTTATACGAAAAGCCCAACAGCCTCCAACCTCTAAGTTCTCAAAAACCTCAGTGCCTCCCGATCCCCGGCTTTCTGTTGCTACCTGCCTGATGGCTTCCATTCCTGCATCTGTCAGAGGGCTCTGAAAGAGGATTATTTAACAATGAAACCCCAGATGATGCAGTGTGTTTGCCTCCTGACGGATGGTCCACAGTTCCTGTGAATTCAGGAGAGCTGCTTTCCAAACTTTTAACTCTCAGGCCAGGGTCCGTTTTCTCTCCATCTGGAACCTGGTGCCTCCTGGTACCTGGATCTTCTCTTTCTATCTGATTTCCAAGCAGGGCTCAGCCCTGTCCCACACACCTCGCTGATTGGTCTATGGCAAACAATTACAGTCTCCGTAATAAGGGTTTCTCACTAGTGGAAAGAGATGGGAAGACTAAAGGTGAGTCTGAAAGCTGGTAAAAATCCCTCACAATTAAGTAAAAGATTAAAGCAGGACAGAGTTCCTCCTGTGGTTCATGTTAGGGAAAGTTTGATTGGAGGATGAGGAGAATTTAACTTAAAAGCTATTGCCATCCCTTGCCTTCCCTCATGACCTTGCTGAGATAGGCCATGGATGCTATCCTGGGCTTCTCCCCCAAATATCATTCCCTCCAGATTCTCAAACCACACCCCAAACGCTCTCAGGGCAGGACACTTCACATAGGTTATCTTATCTGGCCTTCAAGACAACCTGTAATTCAATACGGTATATGGTTTTGCAGATACCTTCTCCCGTTTTATAGGCTGCCTTTTTATTTTGTGAATGTTTTCAACATTGTACAGATAAGAGTCTGAGACTCAGAGGCAATGAGGCCAAAGCAGGCACAGAAAGCACCCTGAGGCAGGGCTGAGCCTGGCATTGAGGGACCCAGGCTCAAACCAATTCCCTTCGGAGCCTCACTCCTGGCAGACCCGTGTCACCAGTGTTTCTTCGGAACATTCATTGTCTCAGTGGGATAACTTGAATTTTCGAGTGCTGACTTCTCTATCTTAGCTTTGCTCCCTTTCAAACTCCAGGCTCTACATAAGGTCAGCAAGAAGGCCAATCCCATTGAGGCCCCAGAGGCCCTATAACTCAAGAAGGTTCACTGCGAAAAGGGCTTCCCTGGCCTAAGCCTAACAGGGTCTTTAGATTCAAAATCTGCTGTCTTAGCGTTAGCCTAAAACTACAAGACCAAAGTGAAAGGCAATAAGCATTTATCTGCGATCCAAAACAATAGCTTTGCAGGAAGCACTAATTCAGGTAGAAACTCAGTGTTCCCATTAGGAAGTGAATGCAAAGGATAGTCATGAGAAAGGGAAGGGGAACTATTTTACATGAAGTAGAAGGTGCAGCTAAGGGGAACTATTTTACATGAAGAAGTAGAAGGTGCAGCTAAGCTAAATAGTGACGCTCGCTCTAAAGAATTTCTTTAATTTTCAGTTCTAGTTATAACTAACAGTTGTTTGGGATACGGTGCTGCTTAGGCCTAGTCCAAAGGTGGCTTTGCCCAGTTTTAATATTCCCAAAGGTTTGAGGAGTAAGAGGTGTAAGGCAGCTAGCTCATGGGGGGATGGCAGATTTGATTTTAAAGTGGCTCCGTTTATGTTATTTCTCACAATTGGCAGAAGCCAGGGTGCACAGTGTATTGTATGTTTCAGATTAGGTCATCCTTGAGCCGGTGCATGCAATTCTTGTGTGTGTGTACTGACTCACAACCCAGTGCCCTGGTAGTATAGGTCAGCTTGATTTATGAGTTTCACCTCTCAAATCACTCCACGGTTGCGTCCTAACAGAAGATATAGAGCATGCAGTAAAGGCCACTCTGGAGTCCACTGGGAGAAGAAGAAATTAGGCACATGATAACAGTAAAATGATGCCATTCTAGAAAATGCGAATTTTCTAGAAATTAAGAGAGATCAAGCTGTGAGTTTAAAACAATAAAGGAAGAAAAGAAGGTTTGCCCGGAAGTCTTTCTTTCCAATCATAATGGTAATTGGGTTAAATGTTAACTAAGCTAAAGATAAATGGAACGGGGAGGAGGAACTCCTGAGTTTCTCATTTTGTTAGTCTTGTTAAATACAAGACACGTCAGCAAAGTGGGCTGATAGTTATCACTGCTAAATCTACAAGAAATAAAGAAAATGGAATGCAGATACACCTTGTTGGTCTGGCAGCTAGAATCACCACTAAAAATGCAGTAGATATCAGTGTAATGGGGGTCAAGTAAAACTGAAAGTCTTTGGTTTTTAGACTCCATGTATAAGTGAAACCATACATTTGTCTTTCTCTGTCTGACTTATACTTATGTCTCAGCATAATACCCAAGGGGTTCATCTATATTGTTGCAAATGGCAAGATTTCATTTTTATTTTATTTCTTACTGCTGTGTAATCAAACAAACAAAACAAAATAAAAACAGACTCATAGAAACAGAGACCAAAGGGATGGTTGCCCTATTGTGATAAGTTTATACAATAACAGGTGATTACTGGAATTAGTGGGCTGATCACACATGGTAAGGTATACAAAAGTCCAATCACTATAGTGTACAACTGAAATTAATATAACTAATATAATATTTTACAGAAACTATACTTAAACCAAAAATAATAAATGTAATGATTTTTCCATTTTAAACAAAGATTGAGAGACTTTGAAGCAATCAAAACATTTTCACATTTTAGGACCGGCCCTTGACTTGATCCTCCAATCAGTGTTTGGAGACTTGCCTTCCTCACTCTGGGTCTTGCTTTACAAGGATTGGCATCATTCCTCTTAAAAGTGCATCCCACTGATATAAAACTGTATTACAAGGCCATAGTAATCAAAACACCGTGGTACTAGCATAAAATAAAATTAAAAAGTGCATCCCACTTTTGTCTCACTTTTGCTACCACTTCCTTACTTTTTACGTCCACTGAACTTTGGAATGCTGAGTGCTCAAACTATTGCCACCCTCCAGGAAGGTCTTGTGGCTGCTCAACATGGTCAGTGAGGTTGCGAAGGAATCTCCCAAGATGTAGATGTGATGTTTGGGAGTCAGACTTCTAGTTGGGGAGAAAGAAACAACTTCCTACATGAGAAGCCTTCAGTTTGGTCCAAAGCTGGATGCCACGTTGGTATTAAACACTGTTAGTTTTCTATGAAACTCCTTGGTTGGTTTTTAAATTTCAACATCAGCTAGAGAATCATTAGCCCTGGTGCTCCTGATAAACATCCACCTTTAGTTTTGTTGTTCTCCATTGCATTCCTCGTGTAATCCCGTGGCCATGTATAGGGTGAGCATAAGTGTAGAGTCAACTGATAAATGTATGTGTTGGGCAAAGGACTGAACCTCAAGACCAGTGATAAAAAAAAATATGGGCAGGGAGTGGGGAGGGTGATGGAGAACAATCAGAACCATCTAGCCCTCCAAAGAGTTGAGGCAGGGGAAAGAATAAGAGCTACCCCCTGCCCTAGTAATGTGGCTCCATGGACCCATGCTGAGTGACTTATAGAAGGAGAAGTGTTTATCTCAGTAGATAAATGTGACACTTTGCAGCTTCTTTAAGCATTTGGAATGAGGGAGGGAACCTAAAAATGATTATGTGAAGGTGGAAGAGAGCAAGGCAGAGATAGGATTAAGATTCTGTGTTCTCTTAAGGGTGGTCATGCTTTAGAGGAGGGGTCTGAAAAAGAGCCATTTAAGAAGTTTGTTAACCTAGGTGCACAGAAACAATGGACAGAGCTTACTTAAGGCAAATGTAAACCTTCCACTAAAAGTTATAGGCCTGGGACATGACTACCCACTCCGACATGCCTAGTTAGGAATTTATAATCAGATCATTCTGTGAGGCTGCTCTCCATAGAGCCTTTTTTTCATCCACACGTCCTAAAGACACTGGCAGGATTAAAAAGTCAGTATTCACTAATTGTTGCTGTTATTACTACTAGTCATAAATTTTAATTTGTATTCACTTTTCAAAAAAGCTTACAGCACTTTCTTTTGACGCTGTGACTCAGGGAACTGATACTTTGTTTTCTACTTCGCCTTGTGTTTCTCTCATTTCTTAAGCTATGTTTTAGTCACCTTTGTATCTCCTTAGCTGCTCACTAAATACTTGAATGAATAATTTTTAAAAAGCTGCCTTGTATATGCACTGACCAAAATACCTTTTCCAAAACATGTCAAAAAGTACCCCTCAAAAGTTCTGCATTGTTTCAAAACAATGGAGAGAGCTGAGCAGGTTGTCATGGCAGCTTCATGGCTCCAGCAAGCTCTTCTCCAGCAGTGCAAGCTGCACACAAAGCTCAAGAAACAAGGAGATTGCCTGGTTGGCATGGCTCAGTGGTTGGGCATAAGCCTGTGAACCTGGTTCAATTCCCAGTCAGGGCACATGCCTTGGTTGTGGGCTTGGTCTGGATGTGCAGGAGGCAGCCAATCAATAATTCTCTCTCATCCTTGATGTTTCTATCTCTCTCTCCCTCTATGAAATCAATAAAAATATTTCTATAGATATAAAAGGCTAAGCAACCGGTCAACCAGCCAACTAGCCTACAAGACAGTAGGTATGACACACCCTGACCTCCAG